ACACTGTTTAACCAATACATACTTCACTTGGAATGGAACTTTCTACAAACAAACTGAGGGCACCCCAATGGGCTCCCCCCTTTCTCCAGTTATAGCTAACATTTTCATGGAGAAATTTGAGACTGACGCCATCCAGACTGCCACTCTGCGCCCAACCTTATGGAAGAGGTACGTGGATGACACTTTTGTCATCTGGCCACATGGCCGGCCTGCTCTAGACCAATTCTTCGACCACATCAATTCCATACACCCAGCCATCAGATTTACCATGGAAGTCGAAATAGATGGCAAGATACCTTTTTTGGATGTCCTAATTAAAAAGAGACCTGATGGTTCAATGAGCCACTCTGTCTACAGGAAAGCTACCCATACGGATGCTTATCTGAAACCGGATTCCCACCACCATCCATCACAGAAGAATTCTCTCATCAAGACTCTGTATCATAGAGCCCAATGCATATCCGACCAGGAACACATAAGCAGTGAACTCAAGCACGTACACCAAGCTCTTAGGGCTAATGGTTACTCCGACTATACAATCCGCAAAGCTATCACTCAAACCATGAAGAAGAACCCTCTTGAGGAGCCTTTCAAAACCATCACTTTACCCTACATTGCTGGGATCACAAAAAAGATCTCCAAAATCTTGAATAAACACAAGATCCAGGTCCGTTTCAACACATTACATAAAATCCGTGATCTGGTTCCGTCTGTAAAAGATGTGATTCCGGACATACAATACCCTGGGGTCTACAAACTAAGTTGCCTCTGTGGTAGTAGTTACATTGGAGAAACCAAACGCCATATCTCGGACCGCATTCGTGAACATAAAGCAGACCTTAAACACGGTAGGACCAACACCTCGGCCGTAGCAGATCATTGTTCTAATTCAGTAGGCTCACATGCCATTGACTTTTCCAAGACGGAGGTTCTTTGTAAGCCATCTGGCTTCCATGAGAGATTCGTTCATGAGGCTATCCACATATACAAACACAGAGACAATTTCAACCGAGAAGATGGATTCTATCTTAGCAATCATTGGAAAGATTTGATAAATCATTTCAGTTCTTGATTGATTGTTCACGCTTACAGTGGCTTTCAGACAGCATACATAAAAACAAATTTCGTCTCCCCCCTCCTCTTTTAAAAAAAAAATAGATGGACTAGTCCTGGCAAACAGCCAATCGTTGCGCGTGACGCAAACGTTATTTATATATATATAAATAAATATGCCGTTTTCAAAATAAATTTATGCAAACCGACACACCTGATGATGACCGTTTGAGTTATGGTCGAAACGTCGTGAGAATTTTTTATTGTTTTATATATATTTTGTTATTTTGTTGTTTCTCTTCAACGTGACTTTACCGAAAAAACTAAGAATATGAATTACTGCAGTCACGAAAGCTTTAAATCAAAATAAAAATACGTTATGTTGTTAAGGGGGGTATTTATAGGGGTTTAATTGTTCTTGTTGTTCGTGAGGCACACTCACAATTCTTCTACCATTGGTAATTTCGGAGTTTCCCATTGTTGCAGCCGGGACGGCTGGAGCTTCCAAAGGAGGGGGTGATGTAGAGGTGTTAACTACGCGCTGTTGCGTAACCTGCGTTGCCACCAGGGCGGTGCAGCATTACCCCTGGGTACAACGGTTGGGGTCAGTCGAGGTGAAACGGATCGTGGCCAGGGTTTGGTGCGAACCAATCAGACGGTTCCACGTGGGAATGTATGATTGGTTCTACCTGGCCACGAAGGGGTATAAGACGGGTGACCCAACGGACCTCGGGGAGTTCTCTCCCTGCACGAAGACAGAAGACTGGGCTGAAGCCTAGCTAGGACCCTGGACCAGCCTTTCAGCCCTTCTAAGGGCTAAGGTTCGGCATACCCAGTGGTCAGGACCCACCGGGCCAGCGGTGGGTCAGATAGCCTCCCCTAGGTCCTAGCCGGAGGACTAGGATAGCGGTAGACGTGTGAGTCCCGCCAGGTCCGGAGGCTGTACCTCCCTAGGGTATCGGGTGAGGGGACCGAATATCCCTCTGTGTGTGTTAAGCGTTGTATAAGGAAATAATACAATAAACAGAGTGTGCCTCCATAAGAAGTCTGCTCGTCCTTACAACACTACACAAGCGGTCATCCTCAGGTGAAAGAGAGAAACATGCCTCTGTGACATGGCATTATATAGAGGGGGAGGGGGGGAGGGGAGGCCGTAAAGGGGCGAGAGGGTGGGGATAACATTCAAAGAGGGCTTGGGTGAGAGAGAGAAGAGAAATGTGACAAGGAAGCTTAGATCTCAAACTTCACAAATTTTAGAAATCTTGATTTGAAGCTTTCGTGACTGCAGGAATCCATACTCTTTGGTTCTTTCGGTAAAGTCACGTAGGTAGAAAAAGAAAAAATAACATATCACGTTTCGATCGCAACACAAGCGGTCGTCCTCAGGCGGAAAAAATAACCCAGCAGTGGAACTGCTGAACCAGGAAGAACACATCGAGAGAGCTGTTACAACAAGAGGTGAGAAATGTGGCGAAGGGCAAGCAAACATTAACTTGCTAATCGCCCTAATCTCTCTGCCTAATCTCTCCCATCAACATAGTGCTAATCTCCCATTAACACTGCTGTTGTCGCATATGCGGGGACGATACTCTTATGCGGCGACGGAAGCTCATTTCATGCTAATATCTGTTCCCTAATCTCTCTCTCTCTAATCTCCCCCATTAACACAACTGACGTGCTTGCGTGAAGGGATGGAATTCCTTTCCAGCCCAGACCCTGCCTGCTTGCTCATTACACTCTGGTAGTGTAATCCAAATCTTAACTTTCCAGCCAACATTGTCTCTCTCTCAACACACAACCACTGTCGCTAAAACTTCATCAATCTTCTGGGCTCCAAACACCTGTAAGCATATAATGTTATATTGATTCAGCCACCCTGGCGCCAATGATGGGAAAGCGTGTACAGCGTGCATTCTCCAATTCCTTCCCCCTCACCTCCGATTCTTCCCCCGCTCCTCCGATTCTTTCCCCCGCACCTTTGATTCCCTTCCCCCGCACCTCCGATTCCTTCCCCCGCACCTCCGATTCCTTCCCCCGCACCTCCGATTCCTTCCCCCGTACCTCCGATTCCTTCCCCCGCACCTCCGATTCCTTCCCCCGCACCTCCGATTCCTTCCCCCGCACTTCAGATTCCTTCCCCCGCACCTCCGATTCCTTTCCCCACACCTCCGATTCCTTCCCCCGCACCTCCGATTCCTTCCCCCGCACCTCCGATTCCTTCCCCCGCACCGATTCCTTCCCCCGCACCTCCGATTCCTTCCCCCGCACCTCCGATTCCTTCCCCCGCACCTCCGATTCCTTCCCCCGCACCTCCGATTCCTTCCCCCGCACTTCAGATTCCTTCCCCCGCACTTCAGATTCCTTTCCCGCACCTCCGATTCCTTCCCCCGCACCTCCGATTCCTTCCCCCGCACCTCCGATTCCTTCCCCCGCACCTCCGATTCCTTCCCCCGCACTTCAGATTCCTTCCCCCGCACCTCCGATTCCTTCCCCCGCACCTCCGATTCCTTCCCCCGCACCTCCGATTCCTTCCCCCGCACTTCAGATTCCTTCCCCCGCACTTCAGATTCCTTCCCCCGCACCTCCGATTCCTTCCCCCGCACCTCCGATTCCTTCCCCCGCACTTCAGATTCCTTTCCCGCACCTCCGATTCCTTCCCCCGCACCTCCGATTCCTTCCCCCGCACCTCCGATTCCTTCCCCCGCACTTCAGATTCCTTTCCCGCACCTCCGATTAGCACGCCTATAATTTGGACTCCTATCGTGTGTTTAGACTGTTTCTTGTAATGTTCTGAGCGCCCCTACTCATTGGATTCCTGCTGCAGTATCAATACTGATTCTGATCCAAAAGAAGTTCAACATACAGTGCATGCAATAACAACGGACTGCATTCTTATTGGCAATCGACACTGATTATAAACCAAGACATTAATGACTGCACAATAAGCGGCATTGATGAATTATCCACTGTAAGTATTCCCGGTGTTATTGCATCACAGTGCGATCCTGCGATAAGGCAACAACCGTACACAAGTACAGGACTATGGAAAATAAGAATAGGTGTAATCCTTCATGGCAATAAAATAGGTGTTAATATGTTCAAACAACATTAACTACAACGTACCACAAGTACCACATGTGCGTGTGGTTGATGCAGACTTGATGCCTTGAGAAAGGTAGCTATTTGGTGTTTGAACATCTTAACACCTATTTTATTGCCAGAAAGGGTAAAACCTACTCTTATTTTTCACACTTTGATAGGGTACTGGCAAAGAAATGTCCCATAAGTACAGGACTGCCCTCTGGTGCCCAATACATACAAATGCATTCACAGGAATAATTTCCAAAAATTGTACGCAAATACTGTCTGCTCACTATGGATAGAGCTCCTGATGGGGAGACGTTCCTCATCAACATTACGTCCATCCTCGGATTTACAAACCTCAACTCACTCTGTTCCGCATCCATCACACTCCTAAACTTACGATCCCACAATTCAATACCAACACAGATAACCATCATCACGGTGGCTGGGAGACGTTAACTACCTCGCCTGTTGTACAGGGGTCGTGGGTTCGATCCCGACTTTGACGATGCCTCCTGCTGTAGATTTGGAGTCTGCGTCTCTCTCTACCCGTGGTCGCGTGAAATTTTCTCCGGGTCCTCCGATTTTTAATGTAACCATTGAGAATCAACGTGGGCTTAAAGTATTTGGCTGCTATAAATATCCACGCAATAAGTAACTTGGTTGAGCTGTCATTCTTTAATAGCCAGGTCGCTTCTGAAAAAGAGCTACACAGGTCAGTGGGCACTACCTGGTAAATGAAGTTCCTTTTTGTATCGTTGTATTTCATTCGTAAGTGTGAAATAACAATGACGAGGTTCACAAGTAATGATCGTTCACTCTAATGCCTCTTCTGCGGACATCGAGGCGTGCGACCTCCGTACCTGCAACCGCCGCTCAAGTTCCGCACCAAGGTCGCGACCTTCACCGCTGCCCATTCTTCTTCGGAAGGTATCAGGACTAGAAATTAGTAAGCGAGGTATGAATCGCAGCGAGTGAGGTTATGAGCCGCTCACTAAGTTCGTTAACGAAATAGAGTTCATTTTAAAGGCTTCAACAAAGCGGAACTTCGCCGCGGGTCGAGGCCGCGGCGAGCAGGCAGTCGCCATGGCGACGGCAACACACAAAGACAAAGATGCCCCCCACCCCGTGTAGCCTCAACAGACTGCTGGGGCAAGTGCTGCTAGGGGGCGGGTGGCCAGCACCACGCCCGGCCGCCTTTGTCTCCCCACTGGCGATGTTTACACGCCGCACCAGGTACTCATTTGAGGCTGAGTTGACCTAGGGGAGGCCCAGGACCGGTTCGGATAATCGTCACCGATGTTGGTTCGTGAGCGGGAAACGAACTCGGGTCGTCGAGTTCGTAGCTAGACACCACACATAGTTACACACCACACATAGCTACACCACACACATAGCTACACAACACACATAGATACACACCACACATAGCTACACTACACACATAGCTACACAACACACATAGCTGCACACCACACATAGCTACACTACACACATAGCTACACCACACACATAGCTACACACCACACATAGCTACACTACACACATAGCTACACAACACACATAGCTACACACCACACATAGATACACACCACACATAGCTACACACCACACATAGCTACACCACACACATAGCTACACACCACACATAGCTACACACCACACATAGCTACACACCACACATAGCTACACCACACACATAGCTACACACCACACATAGCTACACATCACACATAGCTACACCACACACATAGCTACACCACACATAGCTACACCACACACATAGCTACACCACACACATAGCTACACACCACACATAGCTACACACCGCACAAATAGCTACACACCACACATAGCTACACACCACACATAGCTACACCACACACATAGCTACACACCACACACATAGCTACACACCACACATAGCTACACTACACACATAGCTACACAACACACATAGCTACACACCACACATAGCTAAACACCACACATAGATACACACCACACATAGCTACACCACACACATAGCTACACACCACACATAGCTACACACCACACATAGCTACACACCACACATAGCTACACCACACACATAGCTACACACCACACATAGCTACACACCACACATAGCTACACACCACACATAGCTACACACCACACATAGCTACACTACACACATAGCTACACAACACACATAGCTACACACCACACATAGCTACACACCACACATAGATACACACCACACATAGCTACACACCACACATAGCTACACCACACACATAGCTACACACCACACATAGCTACACACCACACATAGCTACACACCACACATAGCTACACCACACACATAGCTACACACCACACATAGCTACACACCACACATAGCTACACACCACACATAGCTACACCACACATAGCTACACCACACACATAGCTACACCACACACATAGCTACACACCACACATAGCTACACCACACACATAGCTACACACCACACATAGCTACACACCACACATAGCAACACCACACATATCGCTACACCACACACATAGCTACACCACACACATAGCTACACACCACACACATAGCTACACCACACGCATAGCTACACACCACACATAGCTACACACCACACATAGCTACACCACACTCATAGCTACACACCACACATAGCTACATACCACACATAGCTACACCACACACATAGCTACACACCACACATAGCTACACAACACACATAGCTACACCACACACATAGCTACACACCACACATAGCTACACAACACACATAGCTACACCACACACATAGCTACACACCACACATAGCTACACCACACACATAGCTACACACCACATATAGCTACACCACACACATAGCTACACACGACACATTGCTACACACCACACATAGCTACACCACACCCATAGCTACACACCACACACATAGCTACACCACACGCATAGCTACACCACACACATAGCTACACACCACACATAGCTACACCACACACATAGCTACACACCACACATAGCTACACCACACACATAGCTACACAACACACATAGCTACACACCACACATAGCTACACCACACACATTGCTACACACCACACATAGCTACACCACACACTTAACTACACCACACACATAGCTACACCACACACACATAGATACACACCACATATAGCTACACCACACACATATCTACACCACACACATAGCTACACCACACATAGCTACACCACACATAGCTACACACCACACATAGCTACACACCACACATAGCTACACACCACACATAGCTACACCACACACATAGCTACACAACACACATAGCTACACACCACACATAGCTACACCACACACATAGCTACACACCACACATAGCTACACCACACACACATAGATACACAACACACATAGTTACACACACATAGCTACACCACACACATAGCTACACATAGCTACACTACACACATAGCTACACACCACACATAGCTACACCACACACACATAGATACACAACACACATAGTTACACACACACACATAGCTACACCACACACATAGCTACACACCACACACATAGATACACACCACACACATAGCTACACCGCTCACACATAGCTGCACCACACACATAGATACACACCACACATGGATACACACCACACATAGCTACACCACACACATAGATACACACCACACATAGCTATACCACACACATAGCTACACACCACACATAGCTACATAACACACACATAGCTACACCACACATAGCTACACCACACATAGCTACACACCACACATAGCTACACACCACACATAGCTACACCACACACATAGCTACACAACACACATAGCTACACCACACACATAGATACACACCACACATAGCTACACACCACACATAGCTACACCACACACAGATGCACACCACACATAGCTATACCACACACCTAGCTACACAACACACATAGCTACACACCACACATAGCTACATAACACACACATAGCTACACCACACATAGCTACACACCACACATAGCTACACACAACACATAGCTACACCACACACATAGCTACACAACACACATAGCTACACACCACACATAGCTACACCACACACATAGCTACACACCACACATAGCTACACCACACACACATAGATACATAACACACATAGTTACACACACACACATAGCTACACCACACACATAGCTACACAACACACATAGCTACACCACACACATAGCTACACCACACACATAGCTACACACCACACATAGATACACACCACACATAGCTACACCACACACATAGATACACACCACATATAGCTATACCACACAGATAGCTACACAACACACATAGCTACACACCACACATAGCTACATAACACACACATAGCTACACCACACATAGCTACACACCACACATAGCTACACACCACACATAGCTACACCACACACATAGTTACACAACACACATAGCTACACACCACACATAGCTACACCACACACATAGCTACACAACACACATAGCTACACACCACACATAGCTACACCACACACATAGCTACACACCACACATAGCTACACCACACACACATAGATACACAACACACATAGTTAAACACACACACATAGCTACACCACACACATAGCTACACATAGCTACACTACACACCTATGTGTAGCTACACAACACACATAGCTACACCACACACATAGCTACACAACACACATAGCTACACACCACACATAGCTACACCACACACATAGGTACACACCACACATAGCTACACCACACACACATATATGCACAACACACATAGTTACACACACACACACATAGCTACACACACACATAGCTACACCACACACATAGCTACACACCACACATAGCTACACCACACACATAGCTACACAACACACATAGCTACACACCACACATAGCTACACCACACACATTGCTACACACCACACATAGCTACACCACACACTTAACTACACCACACACATAGCTACACCACACACACATAGATACACACCACATAGCTACACCACACACATATCTACACCACACACATAGCTACACCACACATAGCTACACCACACATAGCTACACACCACACATAGCTACACACCACACATAGCTACACACCACACATAGCTACACACCACACATAGCTACACCACACACATAGCTACACACCACACATAGCTACACCACACACACATAGATACACAACACACATAGTTACACACACACACATAGCTACACCACACACATAGCTACACATAGCTACACTACACACATAGCTACACACCACACATAGCTACACCACACACACATAGATACACAACACACATAGTTAAACACACACACATAGCTACACCACACACATAGCTACACAACACACACATAGATACACACCACACACATAGCTACACCGCTCACACATAGCTGCACCACACACATAGATACACACCACACATGGATACACACCACACATAGCTACACCACACACATAGATACACACCACACATAGCTATACCACACACATAGCTACACACCACACATAGCTACATAACACACACATAGCTACACCACACATAGCTACACCACACATAGCTACACACCACACATAGCTACACACCACACATAGCTACACCACACACATAGCTACACAACACACATAGCTACACCACACACATAGATACACACCACACATAGATACACACCACACATAGCTACACCACACACATAGATGCACACCACACATAGCTATACCACACACATAGCTACACAACACACATAGCTACACACCACACATAGCTACATAACACACACATAGCTACACCACACATAGCTACACACCACACATAGCTACACACAACACATAGCTACACCACACACATAGCTACACAACACACATAGCTACACACCACACATTGCTACACCACACACATAGCTACACACCACACATAGCTACACCACACACACATAGATACATAACACACATAGTTACACACACACACATAGCTACACCACACACATAGCTACACAACACACATAGCTACACCACACACATAGATACACAC